TGTTTCAGTCCAGTTTTATTAATGTAATTAATTAATTACACTGTTTCATCAACCCCTAGGGAGCTCTAGTGGAGTAGAGCTGAGCCTCTAACTCAAAAGGCAGCGCCTCCCTTTCCTGTTCGAATCTACAAGTGACTCCATGGGAGAAAGACTAGCAACTCAAAGCCTCTGAAAACCCGCTGGAGGGTCAGCTATGAGTCGGTTCTGACTCAACACTATGAGTTTTGTGGTTTGTTTATTTTTTAATAAACTCCATATTGTATATAGCCTTTCTCTTCATCCAATTTATCTAATTATTTTTACTCCCCTCTCTTTTCTCTCATCTCTGTTAATCATCTATGATTAACTTTATCGTTAAGAGCTGTTGAGTGGCAACCCAGTGATCTTATTTATGCACAATAGCTCTGAACCCAGACCTATCCTGAGCCAGTCTCAGTGGCTCCAACACACCTACCCTCATTACCTCAGTAACTATGTTAAGGCATCTCATCTCGGCTCCTCCTCTCTTATGCTGGTCTTTCTACCTTTCCAAGCATGATGGCCCTCTCCAAGGACTGATCCCTCACATGCCCATGTTAGATGGAGCTTCTAAATCCTTGCCTAAAAGGAACAACCTGGTTTCATCCTCTCTATGACAGACCTGTTTGTTTTCTTGGCAGTCCATGGTATGTTCAATACTCTTCTCTAGAACCATGACTCAAAGGCATCAATTCTTTTTCTGTCCTCCTTAGTCATTGTCCAGCTCTCTGATATGTAGCAAGTAGTTGCAAAGACCATGGCCTGGATCAGGTGTACTTTAGTCTCTAGACTGACATCACTGTTCTTTAGTCCTCTGGAGAGGCCACTGGCAACAGATTTTCCCAATGCAATTCGTCTTTTGATTTTCTGACTGCTGATGCCAAGAGTGTTGATTGTAGAGCCTAGAAAGCTGAATATTTTAACAATCTCTATCTCTTCTCCATCTTTCATTGTGCTGCCAAATCTGTCCAGTGGTAAGAATCTTTGTTTTCTTGATGTTGAGTTTCAATCCATATTGAAGACTGCAGTCCTTGACCTTCTGCAGCAAACACTCTAAGGCCTCCTTGGTTTTGTCAAGCAAGGTTGTGCCATTTGCATAATGCAGGTCCTTGATGATTCTTCCTACAGTCCTGATGCCACATTCCTCCTCATAAAGTCCAGCCTTCAAATGATCTGTTCTGCATACAGATTGAAAAGGTGTGAAGACAAGACACATCCCTGATACATAGTTCAAACAATTGACTTTATCTGTGTGTAAACCTTTACTTACCAAGGCGAGTTCCTTGAGTATCATTTGCCTTAACTTCCCCACCTATAAAATGAGTGTAATCATTGTACCTACCTAAGAGTTGACTATTATTGAGTTGTAAAAATTCCTGGTGTACAGGAAATATACAATCTGTGTAGGCTCCCTGGCTTGCCTCTGTTCAGGGGGCTCACGAGTCTGTGTGACTTGCTCTGTGTTTATCCCATGCGTGCACCTATGTTTGGTGCTAGATCTGATTTGTTGCTCTCAGGTGCCTCTCAGATGGCAGCTGTCTGTGCTGTGCATGTTCTGTCCGTGAGTGGGAGCTGTGTACATGTGTGTTTGCGTGGGCATGCACATATTTTGTGCCTGGGAGAGAGCTGGCAGTACTCGTGGGCTGTGGCCAACACATGTGTGTCAGAGGAGCGTGTAAGCGAGTGCGTAGGCAGCGTCTGTGCTGTGTGCACGTGCTTGCCGTGTGCAGGCCACACCCACTGACAGCGATGCAATCCACCCCACCTCCCCCAGCTTGCCTGTGTCGTGGGAGCCTCGAGACCCCGAAGGAGGGAAGCGGCTGCTAGCGGATGTGGCCAAGATGGATTGGATTTATTTAGATTAAGACGGTGGGAAAGGAGTGGGGATGTTGTATGTGTTAGAAGAAGGGGAGGCTGGGCTCAGAGAATGATGCTCTGCACTCCAGCCCCCTGCATTCGATGCTCTCACTCTGTCCCCTGGTATTGAGGTCCTCATTCTGAACCCCAAGAAGCCCCTCTAATTCACTGGGAGAACAGAGTACATTCTCAATCTCTGAGCCTCTGTCCAGTTCAACCTGACCAAAATGAGAGAGTGGTCAGAAAGTCTTCCAGCTTGCAGTATTATCTCCATGGAAGAACACAGTGGTCTCCAAGGTCTGCTCCCAGGGCTTCTCAAGGCAGGGAAATAGTTGAGAGTGCGGCATGTTCATCCCTGGCTAGGACTCAAACCTTGCATCAGATGGCTTTTTCCCATAGGTCAAGTCCTGCTTGCCATGACCCCCATCCCCTGAAGAAAGGAAGTTGTTCCCAGCAAACCTACCACCCCAAAGTCAGTTATCTGGGCTTCTCTGGTGTTGGCAGGAAACCCAGCCCCTCAGGACCGTGTGGCACTGGGAGAGGGCAGCTGGGGTGTTGGGAATCATCAGAGATTACCTAGAGCACTCTGAGACCCCAGGCTCATCCTTCTCCATCTCCAACCCGCTGTCCATGTCACATCTCCCCCTCAAAGGAGCTCTGAATACAGTCCATTGAATTGTAAGTCAGTCACTTGAAGGAACAATCTCTGAATCCTAATTGTACCTAGAGGCAGACTGAGGCCCAGTGTGGGAAATAACTTGCCAAAGTCCAAACAGCAAGGAAGTGATGGAGATGATGAAAGTCCACCCGCAGAGTGGGATGGGTTTACGGAGTCTCACGTCACTGTCACCACAGGAATACAGCCCCCATCTCCTCTATCTCTCCCAGGGAGAATTTGGTGACTGGAATCTTCTCTCTGGACAGTTAAAAGGGCTGTTTTAGAGAAGGGAAGGGATCTCTGACACAAGTCTTTCAAATCCCTCTCTGGATGGAGAAACAGAGTCCAACAAGAGCTAGCGGTCAAAATTGTCTGGAGGAGAGGGGAGTAGAATTGTTCTTTGATAGAGTCACCTGGGCGTCTACACCCTCCAAAGGTCCCCCTTTTCCCTCTCCTGGATCTCTAGGCCCCGTCTGTCACCTCCTTGAAGCCTGAACCTGCCTTTCACTGTGTGCAAGGCACAGTTCTGCCCTTCTCTGGGCTTGGTTGCCTGTTCAAGAAGGGTTCTTTTCCACTTCAAAGTCTCAGGGACTCCATGCCACCTTTGCCTCAGGCCTAGCGGAAGAGGATTCTGAAGAAGGGACCTTAGCCATGCTGGAGCCAGGTTCAGGGGGCTGCACACCCCGAGGGCCCAGCCCACACAGTCCAGCCGTCCAGATCTAGGCCCAGTGACCTCTTGTCTCTTGGCCAGGCTGCCAAATTCCTCCTTTAGAATAATAAACAGTGTGGCCAGCCAGGGAGGCTGGGAGGGGAGGGGCCGAGGCTGAAATTGCCCCCTCCCCCAGCCTCGGCTGCTAATGATTTTCCTTGGCTGAGATCTCTGGCAGGAAGGGGGAGCATGGGGGGCACCCACTACAGGGCAGATGGGCCTCTGTGGGGGTTGCTGGCTCCCCCTTGGTACTGCTCCCTCCTGCTGCCTCCTGCCCAGGGAGGCCTGGTGTCCAGCTGCAGGGGCCGGGCAGGAGGGTCAAAAGTGGGGGGGTGGGGATTCTTGAAGGCTTGTCAGAACAGCAGAGTGTGTTAAGTCTGGAGAGGGGAAAGGGGGAATGAGGGACCCCGCCATACGCAGACACATCAGAAGGGAGGGGGGAAAGGAGGAATAGAGGTGCAGATTTGCTCAGAAAGCTTCTTGGGTGGTGGGCAGAGTGGAGAACAGTGTCCACAGGCCCTGCTAGGATGAGAAAATATGACCCTAATAGAGGGTACACTCATCAACTGCCCCATTTGGAAAGCTGGAGAGTGAGGCCACCGAGACTATCATCGGGCCCAAGAAATAGCCAGAGCCGCAGGGGGTTCACTCTTGCTCTCCAGCTCAGCATTGGACACTATGGGAGGGGTGAGCAGGGGCAGCAGCTCACAGCATCAGAGGCTCCTTGTTGCCTTGTCATGTGGCCACGTCCCACGTTTGTTGCTCCATGACCCTATCTGCTCTGCCTCCTTCCTGTCGGAGTTTGCAGGCAGACCACTGGTACACCTGACAATTGGTGGTTACCGGGGACCTGGGGCTGCTGAGGGCAGAAACAGAGGAAAGATTAGTTAAGTCTGTCTCCGTTTCTGCCTGTCTCTTTCTGCTCCGTCACTATGTGCTTCTAGGTACCTTCTCTCTCTGTATCCCTCTGCCTGTCTCATTCTACCTCTCTCATTCTCAGTCTCTCTTTCTCTCAGGCACACTGTACAAACATGGACAAACTTCTTGCTCTTTCAGAGCCTCGGTTTCCCTGACTGTGCAGTGGAGGTGGGGGTGGGGAGTTTGGATTCAGTGGTCCCCACAGGCCTTTGCAGCCTTGCGGCTCTGTGGGGCTGGCCAAGCGCCCAGCCCCGGCCCCTCTCCCCCTGGGCCTCCCTGGACTGCTCTGGGCTGAGTAAAGGGGGCCAGGCATTGGGGAGATGCTCCCCCCACATTCCAGAGCCCTGACTCCCCCGCTTCCCTTCCCACTGCCGCCTCCATTTCCTGTTGTGCTTGTGGAGCTATGGGAGTCCTCTGGGTTCTGGTTTGCCCCCTCCTTTCCCCCAGGCCTTTCATCGTACTTTCCTAAATATTTGTCCTGGCAGATAAGAGCCTGGTATTGGAGCTGTCACCCAGAAGATGGGCTGTCAGAGCTGGCAGGCCCCTGGACATCGTCCAGGCCAACCTCTCCCACCTCCCTGCACAATCAAGGAAACTAAGGCCTTGAAAGGGGGCGAGGGACATGGCATCTCTCGTGACGGTTAGAGGCAAACCAAAGCAGGGTCAAGGCCAAGTCTGTGGGGAGGAACAGGAGTCTGTGGTCATGAGTGCTCTCAGCCTTCAGATGGGGTGGCCTTTGACTCCAGTCCCATGGACACAAGAGGCTGGGTGGCTCTGTAGGTCCCAGCTTCCAGAATGTTCACCACGGGCACTGACCCTCGTTTCATCCTGCAGGACATCATGAAGCCTCCAGGTGCGATGTCAGCAATGACCCTAGAAGGTAGGGAGACTGGGGATGGGGTGGAGCCCAGGGGTGCACAGCTTAGCAGCACTTGGAGCTGGTGGGGTGATATTAGCTAGTCCAGGTTGTGGGCACCCAGGAGCATTGAGAAGCCTCCATGTCCTCTATTTTCAGTGAGGTACTGTGCAGGTCTTCTTCCTCACACCCTGCAGCTCAGAAACCTGCATGGGGGCCTTATTTGTCTGCAGCCATGAGCCCAAATTCTTGGCAACTGTCCCCACCCCAGCCCACGGTTGTCACACCCATCTATCCCTGGCACCTTCAGGTATCAGTAAGTGGTCTCAGCACCTTCCTGAGTGCCCTATGGCTGGGGTACCTGCTAGGCTGGGGCTCCTGAGCACTGGGCAAGCTTCTGATCTCATGCACACCCTTCCCTTACTCCTGTCAGCACATGCAGTTAGCTCCTGTGACTGGCTGACTGACCAATGGGTTGAGGATCAGCCAGAGGTCAGCCGGACAGACTCTCTGGCAGGATGTCTGACCCATAAACTCGCTGCCCACCCACCTGGGCTGTACCTTACGTTCATCACCATGGAGCCCTCCCTGCCTGCTGAGGCTGGAGCCTTAACTTTTAATCATCCACGGATTTTTAAGATCATTCAGTAGAGCTTGGCGGCCAATCATAATCACCTTCTAGCCTGCAGAAACTTCATTGTTTCCCCTACCACAGTCTGTGTCCCAGGCTGAGTTACCTGAAGGATGCCCTGCCTCCCCAAACAGGCCACTTCTGGTCTTTGGGGATAATCTGGGCAGCTGCAAGGGAAAGGCTCCGAAAGTGACCTGGGAAGTAATTCAGGAACTGGAGGCCTGGGGATTGCTTCCCGAGGATTTCCTGACTCTGTCTCATGCTCACGGCGTGTATATAGAATGGCTGAAGGATTCCGAGGCTGGAGGAAGGAAGAGACTGAGATCAGGAGGCTGGCAGAGTCCCTGGGGGCTGCCATGGGGCAAGCAGGCCTTAGGCTATCAATAGAGGGTTCTGGTCTGTCTGGATAAGACAAGTTTCCTCTATAAAACTGGGGTCAGTACATGTGTGACCTCTCTCCATGGTCAGCTCTGTATACTGACCTCTGATGCCACTTCTCCCAAAGGCCAGCTGCTGTTGCTGCCCCTGATGTTGCTGTTGCTGGGACCACAGGCTTCCCAGGGCCTGGACATTGTGCCTCCAGGGCCAGAGCTTGTCCTCAATGTCTCCAGCACCTTCAATCTCACCTGCTCGGGCTCAGCCCCAGTGGTGTGGGAACGGCTTTCCCAGGAGCCACTGCAGGACATGTTCAAGACTCCAGATGGCACCTTCTTCAGCATTCTAACACTGACCAATGTTACTGGCCTGGACACAGGAGAATACTTTTGTACCTACAATGGCTCCCACGGGCTGGAGTCCAGTGAACGAAGACGGCTTTACATCTTCGTGCCAGGTAAGGGCCCTTGACCTGTGTCCACACCCTCATGCCCTTTCTTAACGGTAGGCACAATCAGAGGAAGACCACAGAGTGCTTTAGTGACAGTGGGAAACACGGTGCTCTTGGCAACAGAGCTGAATTGTGGCACCCAGCCTGGTTTGGCTCTGTCTGCTTCCACATGATTCCTGGTTCTGAATTCTCAGTTGGCTACAGTCTTCTTAGTCCCTACGTCTGTTCTTTCTTCATGTACCAGTTATCCTCAACTTATGGCTTTCTGAATATCAAATGTTAGCACCGAAGGGGCCTCTGACAGCCTCCTTATTCCGTAACAGTAAGACCGATGGTCAGAGAGCAGAAGGTTCTTACTCAAGGTCACACAGGGATTGTCTGGCTTCTCTGACCCTCAATCTTGGTCCCACCACTCCTGGCAGATCCCACCGTGAGCTTCCTCCCTACCAGCTCTGAAGACCTATTCATCTTTCTCACGGATGGATCTGAGACAACAATTCCATGCCGGGTAACGGACCCACAGCTGGTGGTAACATTGCATGAGAAAAAAGAGGACATTCCACTGCCTGTCCCCTATAATCACCAGCGTGGCTTCTCTGGTATCTTTGAGGACAAAACCTACATCTGCAAAACCACCATTGGGGACAAGGAAGTGGATTCTGACCCCTTCTATATCTATGACCTCCAAGGTAAGCCCCTTTCTGGCCCAGTACCCAGAAGAGGCAAGAATAACCCTTCATAAAGGTCTAACTCTTTATGGTTTATCAGGTGTATGACTCTGTTTTTCCCATTGGATCCTCCCGTAGCCTTAGAAAGGAAGTTGTGTTCTCCTCATTTTAGAGATAAGGATATTGAGGCTTGGAAAAAGGATGGAATTTCCCCCAAGTTTGTACAATATCTTGATGATAAAATTGAGCTTCCTACATGGTGAGCAAAAGTACAGGTTTTGGCACCAGCTTGGTTTGAATGACAACTTGAAACCTTGGCATCTGAGTGTCTTTACCCAGGTCCTGTAATCTGAGTTCTCCCTCTGTAAATGAGGGTGAGAATGGCTTCCTGTCTCAAGGGGATAAATAAAAGATGGAAAGTACCCGGCACATTGTATGTCCCCAGTGCATTTCTCTGATTTCCAAACCATTATCCTTTCTAGCATGTCTGTTGAAGAGGGGCAGGGGTTTTGTTTGTTATTCTCACTGTGATAGCCCCATTGCTTAGAATAGTACTTGACTTACAGTAACTAGGTAGTTGGTAAACACTGGTTGATTGCACGCATCTTCCGCACCAGCCATCCTTTTCCCCTTTGGACCCTCACCCAACCCCCAAGGTGAAGTGCTGGTGGCTGGTGCCGACCTCCCCAGCCCTAAGCCAGTCTCGCTCACAGTGTCATCCATCAACGTCTCCGTGAACGCAGTACAGACCGTGGTCCGCCAGGGTGAGAACATTACTGTCATGTGCATCGTGACCGGGAGCGAGGTGGTCAACTTCGGATGGACGTACCCTCGCATGGAGGTATGGCAGAGGGCCAAGGAGGGAGGGGTCTGCGCTTGCAGCCTGGCTTCTTGCAGACCCCTCCTGACGTGGAGTCTGTCTCTGCAGAGTGGGCGGCTGGTGGAGCCGGTGACGGACTTCCTCCTAGGCCTGCCCTACCACATCCTCTCCATCCTGCACATTCCCAACGCTGAGCTGAGCGACTCGGGGACCTACCTCTGTAACGTGTCGGAGAGTGTGAACGAACATCAGGATGAAAAGGCCATCAACGTCACTGTGCTCGGTGCGTGCCTCGGGCTCAGCCCCACCCTCAATCCTGTCAGTCCCAGAGCAGCCCCAAATCCAGCTCTAGTCCGGGTCTAGTCTTCCCACCTTCCCACCCAGCCACCATCCCACAGTCAGCAGCTCTCAGCCCCACATTCAGCCTCCACGTTACTCCAGCTCACCTCAGCCACGACCCTTAGCCAAAACACACCCATAGGTGAAAATGACAACTGCCGCCACCAGCCATGTGCCCCCACACCAACATGAGTCCCACGTTCACCCTCCAGACCCAATTCCAATTCCAACTTCATCTCTGATGTTGCCGTAAGTGGTTCGAGTCCTCCTGCCTGAAGCCTCTCCCTCAGACTGAGTCCCACCCATTTTCTGGCTGCCCCGCCTCCTGCAGAGGCCCCGCCCGCTGGGAGGTTTTCCTCTGACCACAGACTCTTTTTTAAAAAAAATTAATTTTAATGAAAGTTTACAGAGAGTTAGGGTTTCCATTCATTCATTGTTGCACTTTTCTCCCTGCCCACCCCCTCCCCCTAATTCACTCTTCTCCTTGAAAAGCAAAAGAAAAATTCTTTCATTGTTATGCAATCTCTCCCCCCAAGTCCACTCTACAGTGCAGCCTTCATTCTGGACTCCTGTCATGACAATAATGCCCAATCATATTTCCCTTTTAAACTGTTCTCTCCCTCATCTGTTTCAATACAGTATACATCATTCCTCCCCTCCTTCTCTGCCTTCCCTCAACCCCGATGTAGTCCCATTTTACAACTACCCCCTCTTGCAGAGAGTGGCTACCTGCGACTGCTGGGAGAGCTGGACGCCGTCCAGTTTGCCGATCTGCACCGGAGCCGTACCCTGCAGGTGATGTTCGAGTCCTACCCGCCGCCCACCGTCGTGTGGTTCAAAGACAACCACACCCTAGGTGACCGTAGCACTGGCGAGATCTCACTGTCCACGCGCAATGTCTCCGAGACCAGGTGAGTCGCCAGCTCCTGCGCTCCAGCCTCCAGGTATCCCACTACCCTGTCAACAAACCCAGCCCCACCTTCCCCGGGAGCCAGGTACAGCTAGGTGCCTGGCATTGAGCGAATTGCTGGACATGCCACACCGGCCAGGGCAGACACAGCCCGCTCCTCCCCGAGTTTCCGGTCTAGAGGGGGGGAAATATGTAGGAGTCAGATGATTGTCCAGATGTTGAATTATCCTTGTGATGGGTGGAGCCAGTGAGGGGACAGCCAAGGAGAAGGCGGCCAGATGCCTGGGGAGAGATGCCAGGCAGGCATGGCCACAGCTTGGATGGTAGCCCTGGGGCTGGAAGGAGCAGCGGATATGGGGTTCAGGGTGCCAGGATAAGGTCGTGTCAGGATTTCAGAGGATGGGATGTGGCCTGGCACAAAATGATGCTCCCACCCCATCCTCCCTGCCTTTCTTGGTTGAGGGAGCTGCCAATGGGTGGGGATTCAGGAGCCTGTGAGCTTGAGAGCTGGGCCTCCTACTGACACCCATGTGCCCGTGGTAAGCCCCTTCCCCTCCCTGGGCCTTGTTTTCCTGTCTGTACATCAGGATGGGGAGGATTGTGAGGGCACTCCCAGCTCTAACAGCCAGGTCTTCTGGCCTTTACCCACCTACTCCCCAGGTACGTGTCAGAACTGACGCTGGTGCGGGTGAAGGTGGCCGAGGCCGGCCACTATACCATGAAGGCCTTCCACGAAGATGCTGAAGCCCAGTTCTCCTTCCAGCTGCAGGTCAATGGTGAGGAGGCCTCCTTTGCTCCGCCACCCCATTCCCTTCTTGTCTATCTGCTCTGTTCAGTTTTCTGCCCACTCCTCTTCCCTCCATCACGAGGAACAAGAGAAAGAGCCCAGCCCCAAGATCTTGGGGTTCAGACCTAACCCTGAAATTTACTCACTGCTGTGGAACACCCTCGCATGCCCTCTTGCTGTGCCTCAATTTCCTCATCTCAATAAGAAGCTTGTCAGCAAAACTGGCATTTCCACGCCCTCTGACATGCATTAGCACTACCAGAATTTTCCATCTCCTGTGCCATTTATGCTGTCCTATCAAGTCATTGGATCTTTAATGAGCAACAGCAAACCACCTGTGCAAGCCTCCTGTGGGCCTTTGCACAGCTTGAACCCTAGAAGGGAAAGGCAGGCATGAAACGATGTATTTATGTGGGGGAGGTGGAGTGGGAGGGAGGCTCTGGAAGAAATAAAAAGGGCCAGGAGGATAGAGAATGTTGGGGCAGGAACGTGGTGAGGAGGGCAATTTTAAATAGGCTAGTCAGGGTTAGCCTCATGGGGAAGAAGACACTGAGCAGTGAAGACTTGTAATTAGAAGAAGGGTCCCCCAGCCAATGTGAAAAACGCACTCATTTCCATCAAGTTAGTATCAACTCACAGCTTACCTTCTGTTGTTGTTGTTGTTGTTGTTATGTGCTGTCAATCTAAAGCTGACCTTCTAGTAAGTGTAAATTACGCAGAAGGAGATTGTCCTTCTTTCTCCTACAAAGCGGCTGGTGGATTCGAACCACCTGCCTTTGGGCTGGCAGTGCAACTCCTTACTCACTAGACCATCAGAGTTTCCAGGCAATGTGAAGGCAGGAATAAATGTTGATAGAATGGCAGAACGGCCCCATGTGGTTAGAAGAGAGGGACGAAAGAGTGGTGGGAGATGAGGCCAGGTATTTAGGGGAGCTGGGGGACAGTAGAACTTTGGTCTTTATTAAGTGAAATGAAAAGCCATCGCAGGAGGAATGGCATGATAATGACATAAGGTTTTGTCATTTGACTTTCTAAAAATACATTTCTTTTAAAAGAAATAAAAGCCCATTTGATCTCAATATTGTAAATGGAAAATCAGCATCACATGCCATAAATATAAAGCAACCACTAAAATAAACTCAGGAAACAAAGTAATATTATTAAATTCTAGCTCCATGCTCTTGCCAGCCCAGGGCTCTGAGCTTGAGGGCGGCTTTCTCTTTGTTGAGAGAGAAGATTAGCAAATTTCAGAGAGGTGTTAACAACAGACTAGCACCCTACTGAGACTTTTCTCTTTGAAGTAACCAGAAGGAGAATCCATCCTTTTCCCACTGTGCTTCCTGTGCTCACCTGACGGGGCTAGGTTCTCCTGGAAGGCCTTTTCCATCTTTCCCACTGACTATTCTGACATTCCTCCTCTCACCCCTTCACCTGATCCTTCTGTTCCTTCTCTGCGCAGTGCCTGCCCGGGTGCTGGACTTGCGGGAGACCCCTCCAGCTGGCGGGGAGCGGACGGTCCGCTGTCGTGGCCGGGGCATGCCCCAGCCGCACCTCACCTGGTCTACCTGCAGCGACCTAAAGAGGTAAGTGGACTCTGGCCTTCACCCTCCTAGGGTACTCAGAGTTGTTTGGAAGAACCAGGTCTTCTAGCATGTTGATTCAAGCCAGAGCCATGTCTAGAAGCTACTCCACCACCTCTAGGAAGCTCTGCGTGGCTAACTGTCCATTTTCCTTGTCTAGACCTCTGAGCTGTCCTTAACCCAGGGCAATGCAGGAACTATGTGGTGCCCCACCCCCTCCCATCCGATCCCTGATCCACAGATCTGCTGTGGATCCCTGGTTAGTACAGATTCTAATATAGTGGACAGAGGCAGGGCTGCGTTGAGGCCTGCCTCTACATCCTATGCACTGTATGACTGAGCAATTTATTTAGCATCTCTGTATTTCAGTCTCCACCGTTTGCAAACGAGGGGAATGCATTTTGCAAAAGGGTTTTCAGGCCTGGTGTGGGAGCGCCCCCTGCTGGTAAATTTAGGAACAAGACTAGGGTTGGCCACACCCTACCTCTCAGAGGCCATGTCTGTGGTGAAGCCTTTTGACCTCCGCTTCCCAGTCTGCAGGAGGGAAAGGGCTGGAAAGTATTGAGACGAGCATTTTTTTTTTGGCAGGTGTCCTCGTGAGCTGCCACCCACACCTGTGGGGAACAGTTCGGAGGTGGAGAGCCAGCTGGAGACGAATGTGACATACTGGGACGAGGAGCAGGTGTTTGAGGTAGTGAGCGTGCTTCGCTTGCACAGCGTGGATCAGCCGCTGTCCGTGCAGTGCACGCTGCGTAACCTGCTAGGTTATGACGCACAGGAAATCACCGTCGTGCCGCACTGTGAGTCCACCGGCCTCAGTGGTCCCTGACTACTCCTCAGCACCGGTGACCTTGGCCTCTCATTTGCAATTGACCGCACATGCCCACAGAAAGACAAGAAAGTCTGCATGACCATGGCACACAGGAGCGTGTGAAACCTGCTGACATAATCTCTAACAGAGTACACGCATACATATCAGCATACGTGTGCACACCCAGGACATGCGTGTAGAGAACTGTACATGCATGAGCGTATGTCTATAGACAAAACCCTCATTGATATCAAAATGATCCTTTTGTGGGTTTTTAAAGATTGTAAATTACAAGGGAGCAGACTGCTCATCTTTCTCCCAAGGAGGAGCCGGTGGGTTTGAACTGTCAACTTTGAGTTGACAGTGCAACTTCCTACCGGTGACCACCAGGGCGCCCTCTATGACTTACACTCTCTTAAGAAGGTGCTCTGGTAGTGCAGTCTGTAGCACATTCTGCTGGTCACTTTAAGGCCAGACATCTGGACATTTCCAGTGGTTCTAAGCCACCAACTGCTCCAGAGAAACAGATGGGCAGTTTCCTCTCATTAAGACTTACAGCCATAGAAACCTGCTGGAGGGTCTCAGACTGATGGTAATTTAAGTTTGATCCCCGTAAACATTGTGTATAGGAACTTGGTACATATACTGTACACCATGTGCATGAAGATGCTTGATCCATGAATGCAGATACAAAACTTCCCTGTGTAGATTTGTACACCAGGTACAGAAAATCTCCAGTGCCCAAATACATGGGTAAATAGGTGTAAATCTAGAGTCTTACGTCTGTAGGCCTTTCCTCAAGCATGCACCATCCCTGTCTGTGTGTGTAAATTCACCAAGTGTATGTTTACAAACCATGTGCCTGAACATGCTCAGCCTCTGAAATGTGTGTGAACCTCCAGAGTGTATGTACTGATGTACATACATACAAGTGCAAAATCCCCATACACATGTGCACGCAATGCACATATTTTCTAAAAAGCAAAAAGCACCTCACTGCCTTTAATCAGAACCAACTCATGGCTGACACTCCAGGAGGGTTTCCAGTGCTGTATGGGAGGAGATTGCCCATCTGTCTATCGCAAAGCCATAGGTGCATTCGAACAAGAGGTACTGACTTTGGGTTAATAGCACAATTCCCTACAGACTGTCCCTGTGTATGTGTATGCATGAGTGCAGTACATGCCTGTAAGCATATAACTGTCTCACAGCTGTCTGCAAAGTCCCATAAACGTATACACGTCTGTTGGCAGTCTCGCCTGCACCCGTTCTTCTTGTCCTATGAATAATGCTTCCCAGTGCTCTTGTGCTCATCCCTATACATGCATGTCTTTTATTTGTCCATCTAATTCTTCATTTAATACATAGTTAAAGGGTGCTAATACCTCACTAGCGGTACAACAAAGAGAAGCCTTAGTCCTGCCTTCCCCCCCAGCCCCCCGGATTGACAGTTCAGAGAGAGAAAGCCCAACAGGGAACTAAGCAATCCCAACCAGGGGGTCAGCACTTGAGAAGGAAAGTCTGTAGGGATGAGAGACCTCAGGTTCAACTGTTGGGATTCAGGAAGCTGTCCTGGGAAAAGGCAACTTGAGGCTATAACCTGAAAGAAAACTAGGATCTATCTTAGTGAGGAAGAGTGGTCCAGTCAGAGAGAACATCTTGTGCAAAGGCTAGGCACAAGGTGAGCTCATAAAGATGAAAGGAATTCAGTCTAGTTGGATCAGAGAGTGTGTTTGTGTTTAACGGCAGGGAGAGAAGAGCTAAAGGGGAAATAAGTGAGGGGTGGAGCTAGAAGGACAGGCAGAAAGCAGAGTCATCAAGGCCTCAAAGATCTGCGTAAGGCATCACAGACACTTGTTTGCACACTCAGGCAGGCCCACAGGCTTGCACGCACCTGCCTGCATGTGTGCAAACACAGAACGCATGTTGGACGCTGTGTCCGCTATCTCTGCACCCAGCCCTGCCCCTCTCCTCTGCCTTCTGGTGGGGTATTGTTGTTGCTAAGTGCCATTGCATCAACTACAGTGGGATTTTGAAATACTTTCATGTTATCCATAAAGAGCCCTGGGAGTGCAGTGGTTAAAATGCTCAGCTACTAACTGAAAAGTTGGTGGTTTGAACCCCCTGGCAGCTGCACAGGAGAAAGCTGTTTCAAATCTGCTTCCATAAAGAGTTTGGCCTTGGAAACCTGTGGGAGAGTTCCACTCTGTCCTGTGGGGCCAGGGTGCGTCACAGCCAGCTCTGCAGACACGAGTTTGTTTTGAGCGAGTTTGATTTTATCTCCCTTATACTCTCACATGTACACACACACACACACACACACACACACACACACACCCTTGAGTAGAGGAACCTCTAACAACCAGTATGGAGCAGTCCAAACTCTAGACTAACTCTGACCAAAAGCAGACATAAAGCTTTCATGTGCTATTCAGGGGGAAGCCATGTACCAGGCCACCTGTCACAAGGCTGTCCAGATGAAGGGCCCCTCCTTTAGCCAGAAATGGCCCAGAGAGTCAGATAATGTGAGCTTGCTTCTTAAAACAGGGAGAGAAATAGAGGAATGAAGTAAGCCTGTGGCTTCAAGGATGAGGGTAAGAGGAGACCCCAAGGAGGAGGTGTAGGGCTCTCTTGGGCTCAGAGCAGGAAAAACAAGGGGACAGAGAAAGGGAGAGTGAGTTATCTGGGGACACATGGGTGGTCCATGGGCAGAGCAGAGAAGATAGATGCTGGTCTAGCCTGCATGAGTGTGGAGGGCTAGCCAGGCAGCACAGGGAGCAGGAAGGACTAGGAAGTTGGGCAGTGGAGATGCTGACGCCTTGGGGGTAAAGGAGACACAAGGCTGTCACATCGTGTGTTAATTCCACTTGTTTACAATGTTCCCTGAAAGATTGCCATTTAAGTCACTATCACCATTGCCCTGACCTTCTCCCCCTCCCCCCCTGCCACAGGGACTCAGAGTCAAACAAGGGAGACATCCAGTTCCCTTTGACAGTCTGGGCTCCTCAGCTCACTGTTCCTTCGGTGGCCAGCCTCCCGCCCCTTGGCCAACTGATTGAGGCAGGGAACGTAGAGCTCTGCCCTAGCTGTGATGCTCCTATGTGGGCATGGTCCAGAGAAGGGGAGAGCCACAGGCCAGCTCTCAGAGGCTCATGGCCTCATGGATGCTATCGAAGATAACTCTTGGGCAGACAGACCTGACTGACCCCAGTGAGGGCAATAGGGATATGGAGGCTGATCGGAGACACGAGGTGGGGGCTGGTGATGAAGGGTATTTGCAGGTCCTCTTCCCAGCAGGCTAGATAGAGGCATTTGTGGTGCTGGGGGGCAGCTGCCAAGACCCTTGCTGATAGTCTTTTTCTTATCCCTTCCTCTAGCACTGCCCTTCAAGGTGGTGGTGATCTCGGCCATCCTGGCCCTGGTGGTCCTCACCATCATCTCCTTTATCATCCTCATCATGCTCTGGCAGAAGGCAAGTCCCTCCATCTGTGTGTGCAGATTGCCATGCTCTCTGGCTGGGCCTCCAGCCCTCTGCGGATGCTGCATGATCTGGCCATTTCTGGGGCCCACAGAAAGCCCAGGGTGGACTGCCGCAGAGGAAAGCCGGGTGCTCCAGCAGCCTCACCTTAGACACAGGATGCCTTGAACCCCTGATTCCACTGAAATGCATACTGGTCCTATTAAACTTCCATTCCAGTGTTTGATACAGAGACCTCACCAATCTGTGATTCTCAAGTGGTGACTGAAGCGTCTCGGGATCTCAGCATGCTGATACTCTAGTTCTAAGATTCCAACTTCCTATGATTTCAACGATCTTGGGTTACTTCTTTCTGAGATTTCCTGCTGTGATTCAGACCTGACACTAGCAAGGGTCCACCCCCAGCAGAGTGTCCCTGCCTCATGCCACTGTCCTGAGCTCCCACCTGTGGCTCTGGAAGCAGCTGGTGAGAGGTTCTGATGAGCCAGACTCTCACCGTCAGCTGCTCTTCAGCATCCAAGTTGAAGGCCCTTTAGCCACCTCCTGGCTAGAGCCTTCTGGTACCTGTTCCCTCTGAGTATATGGAGATCTTGGTTCAGTGGTTAACTTCCTGTATGTTAACATGCCTCTGTCCCCCTCTGGGCCTCAGGGGCATGTGCTCCATCTGTCTGTCCCATAAAAGGTTGGCCCGAGTGGACCTTGAGGCCCAGTCTTCCCTATAATGATCCATCTGTAATTTTGGTCCCACAGAAGCCACGCTACGAGATCCGCTGGAAGGTGATCGAGTCGGTGAGCTCCGATGGACATGAGTACATCTACGTGGACCCCATGCAGCTGCCCTATGACTCCACGTGGGAATTGCCCCGGGACCAGCTAGTGCTAGGTCGGCCCAGGAAGGCCCCATAAGGCGGTTTGGGAACTTGAGGTGGAAGAGTAGGCACTCAGGTCTGGTCACAGTCTTGTCATGAGTTGCTTTGTGAACTAAGGGTGACAGCTTGCCTTCTCTGGGCCTTAATCTCCAGAGGACAGGAAAGTCCTCCAGGGACCAGTCAGCATTAAGTGCTCTACTGATCCTTTTCCTCTCCGAGATGGAGCCATTGCCTTCAAATGGGGCAGGAGAGGGAGCATTCACTGAGAACAGGCCAAGGTCTTGGCTGGCTGAGAAGGTGGAGGGGATGCAGGGCAACTGCTCATCTAGGGAGAGAGGCTGGCTTCCAGGGACAGACAGCAAACAGTCTTAGATAAGACACCAGGAAGGAACAGAAAGCATTGTAATTCCAGGAGCCTCCTTGAGGGATGGAGCCTTGGGTATAGGGTAGTTGGAGGACTTATCTGAGTTGGTCATAGAGGCTGGTTCCTCAGCCCAGGTGGAAAGGGTAGAGGATGCAACTTCCAGGTGGGCCGAGAGCTGAGAGGCTGTCTCTATCCCAGGACGCACCCTTGGCTCTGGGGCTTTTGGGCAGGTGGTGGAGGCCACAGCACATGGTCTGAGCCATTCTCAGGCCACGATGAAGGTGGCTGTCAAGATGCTGAAATGTAAGTGCTGGGACCTTCCCCTTCCCCTCAAATGTGCCCCACCCTGTCAGACACTCCCAGAATAGCCTAATTTCAAATACTCTTGCACCATAAATGGATCTTGTCTCTGTAGCCCCTTCCTTCACCTTCTCCTCTGCCTCCCTTCTACCCTCACCTCCCTCACTGTCCCCCACATAGATCCTCACCACCCTGGCAATGCTGGCTGGGTCATTACAGCACCAGATGGGATAGAAGAGCCAGGATAGGCTCCAGTGGGGTCTCCACGGGACCTCAGCCATCTCTCTGTTCCCTCAGCCACAGCCCGCAGCAGTGAGAAGCAGGCCCTCATGTCAGAGCTGAAGATCATGAGTCACCTTGGGCCCCACCTGAATGTGGTCAACCTGCTAGGGGCCTGCACCAAAGGAGGTACCAAACCACCTCCCCCAGAGGACTCAAAAAAAATATCCAATGGTGTGCAGACAAGTGGACCTTCCTTCTGGAGGCCCACAGTCATCCTGTCCTGTCCAGCGTCCTCTGGTCGTAGACCCAGATGGGCATGGCATTTAGAAGCTCAGTGAACCTACAATACCTTAAAGCCCATGGGCCTGACATTTTATTTGCACAAAAGCCTGCTAACTGTTTTACCTCCACAATACATTTTCAAGCCTGTAATTGAGAACAGAGCCCACAGCAGAGAGATGAATTGTCTACCCAGTGTCAGCACATTGGCATCACCGGTATGCTAACTTAGAAACAGGTTTCCTTCCCGTCGTGGGATCCCAGCTGGCTGTGTTTATTAGAAGAGTAGAAGAGTAATCTGACTTCAAGTCCGGCTGCAAAACATGTTATTGTCATTTGCAGCTGCTTATTGTGTGATTTGGGATTTTCCTCAGTATTGTGCAACCAAATAAAAATACAGAAGTATGTCTCATGCATAGGACAATTTGTGTCTGTAGTGACCACTCATTTCAAAATTTTTGTTTTCCATCTACAGACAGTTTCAAGATCCCATTGGTTGGCTTTTAGAAACTGTATTGTGTTTTATTTTAAACAGCATGCTAATGAAATCATTGCTTCTATCTACTTTCTATATTGAGCTCCTAGAAAAGTTTTATTGTGGAAAAAAAATTCATTTTAGCAACAGTGTGGACTTGCCAAGTGCCAGGCACTGAACTGAGCTGAACTAAGGTATCTCATTAATCCTCAGGACAGTCCTAATAGATAGCTATTCTGCCCATTTAACAGATGAGGAAAAGTAAGGCTCAAGGGGACAAAGCACTTTGCTCATGTTTGCAGAGGAGCTTCAGTCTGCCTGGTGCCAAAGCAGGCTGCTTCTCCCCCATTCAGACTGTGATGAACCTCGAGGCCCCGTTAGGTAGCTGGAGGCCTCCCCAGCGACCATAGCTGAGCCTGTCCTTCCACAGGGCCCATCTACATCATCACTGAGTACTGCCGCTACGGCGACCTGGTGGATTACCTGCACCGGAACAAGCACACCTTCCTTCAGCACTGCTCGGAGAAGCACCACCTGCCCAGCGCTGAGCTCTACAGCAATGCCCTGCCCGTGGGGATCCCCCTGCCCAGGTACCAGTGGGGAGGTGGGGCACCTTCATCTTTTAGGGACCCTTAGGAACATTGGCTCACTTCTCATTGTCCAGGAGAGGAAAGCGAGCCTACGGACGAGCAGTGTTGTTCCTGGGGCCAAGGCTGTCGTGCTAGTCAGTCTAGAGAGTAATGTGTGGTCCAGGCTAGCGAATGACGACCGTAAGTGTGAGGGTGCACTGAAGTCTGCAGAGCACCCCACCTCATCCCGAGCCCTTGCAGCACAGCCTCTGTGAACGCTCCCACTCCCCTGGGTGTGGACGTCTTCCTCCTCCAAGCCACTCCTGTCCCTGGACACATGGGAATCAAAGGCAGCGGTAGGAAGAGGGCCAGGGCCCCACTGCCGCTCCTTCCCACATCCCTCACCAGTCTCTCAGAACCCCTGCCCCTTGGCTCCTTGGGGTGATTCAGTTCCTCTTCTTTTCCTAAAGGAATACTTCTTATTTCTCTGCCTGGTTACAAAAGCACTGTGTATTGTGCAGATAAACACTTCAGGGAAGCATCTAGAAAACCATAAAGCTCCCTCCGTCCTCCCTGACCTGGTTTCTTTCCTTTCCGTCTCTTTTTCCTACATGTGCCTGTAGCAGTGTAGCTCTTTCAGGAGTTGGTGCTGCAGGACAGAGATGACAAGACAGCTAGTTGCTGTCCACTCTGGGTCGTGGCCAGGCCTTTGCAGGACATCACGGCTGGGTGGTGCAGAGGCCACAGAAGGCTCCAGTGCTCACACCCATCCCATGCCCCTTGTCTGGGCTGCAGTGGTGTCTGGGGAGCTTGTGGGTGTGAGCTCCCTGGCTCTTATGTAATCTTGGAAGCCCAGTGCCCTGCTCGGGGCCTGATGGGGTTAGAAGGGTTCAGCCATGATCACAACATTGTGACAGATTGATTGGGAGGAAGTGCATGCGAGACAGAGCTGCACAGGCCCAGGCGGGGTGAGCAGAGGGGCAGGAGGGACAGGAAGGCCGAGCCTCACCATCTCGCCTCACAATGCTCCTCTCACCCCCAGCCACGTATCCCTGACGGGGGAGAGTGATGGCGGCTACATGGACATGAGCAAGGACGAGTCGGTTGACTACGTGCCCATGCTGGACATGAAAGGGGACATTAAGTATGCAGACATCGAGTCCTCCAACTACATGGCGCCTTACGACAACTACGTCCCCTCCGGTCAGTGGATAGCATCCTCACCTCACACCCAGGAGGCATTCTTCCATTCTTTTCAAAGCTTTTAATATATCTGGCCTTGCCATAAGGGTTATTGTACAAGGGTTACTGTGCCCATTTTGTAGATGCAGAAACTGAGGCTAGCCATCTGCCCAAAGCTGCTGTGTAGAGAACTCCAGTATGGAGATGCAGAGACCTGCGCATAGCCTGCAGGGAATGGGGGAGCTGAGGTGGGAAAGAATCTGGAGTCCTTGAGGAGCAGGCAGAGCAAAGGTGGCCCCTGAGTTAATGCCAATGAGGCCTCTGATAAAGTAGAAAGGATTAGATTAGGTATTAGAAGCCGTTCTCTGGTCCCAGGAGGCTCAGTTGTTCAATAGCTGCCATTCTATCTCAGTGAGCAGAGGGCTGGGGCCCCAGGTCTATGAAAGGAGAGTGACCCTTTGCTGTCCTCTAGCTCCTGAGAGGACCTGCCGGGCGACTTTGATCAATGAGTCTCCAGTGCTTAGCTACATGGACCTTGTGGGCTTCAGCTACCAGGTGGCCAATGGCATGGAGTTCCTGGCCTCCAAGAACGTATGTGTGGTCAGGAGAGGGTGAGGGTGAGGGAAATGGGTCACTCAGAGTCCTCCAGTTCCGTGGTCCCGTATGACAGTTGTACCTCCTCCACTGGGTGGGGACATGAGATGTTCTCCCACTTCTGTTGCTCCACACACCTGGACTCGGATGTTCCCCCCGCCCCCAAACCCTTGGACCTTTTGCTATGATTGCCCCCCCGGCCTTAGCCCCTTTCCTCCTCATAGTGTGTCCACCGAGACTTGGCGGCAAGGAACGTGCTGATCTGTGAGGGCAAGCTGGTCAAGATCTGTGACTTTGGTCTGGCTCGTGACATTATGCGGGACTCGAACTACATCTCCAAAGGCAGTGTGAGTGCTTTCCCGGGCCCTTGTGGGGTGTCACTGGGGACATCTGAACCTAGTAACAGAATCCCACTGATTAGTGAGGCTCCAAGAACAGGGGGGCAGGACCTCATGTCCTGACCTGCCCATCTGTGATGGGCTATGCCCGCAGACTTCGTATGCAGGGGTCGGATGAGAGGTGCATGGAGGGGAGAGAGCAGTGGTGCTTGAAGCTTGTTGAGGGGTCGGCAGGCTCCGGTTTGTTGTTCAGAGCAAGACGTGGATGGGAAGCAGGAGCCGCCAAATGTGTTCCTATTGTGATCCGGTGGTGGTGGGCAGTCCCTGTGTACCGAGCTGGGCCCAGGAAGAAGTCCAGATGATATGAGAAGACATGAGAAGGTTGCATCCAGTAGCCGGGATTAATCTGGTTATACTGTGACCATCCTGATCTCCTGCTCTGCCCCTACTTTCCAGATGGGGACAGTAAGGCCCCTAGACATCCAAGGCAGCCAGGAGGAGAGTCTCTGGCATTTTGGGTGCCCCCCTAAAGGTCTCTGTTGGGACTAGAAGGGGATACTTCTTCCAGGAGGAACCTCAAACTTGGAGGCTTTTTCCCAGGGCCAGGGGCTACGCGTCCCAGCTCAAGAGAGAAGAAACTCAGCTTCCTGTTCCTGTTCCAGCACTGCGCTGGGCGTGGGAGCTGTGTACAGGAGAGATAGAGGTCACAGAGGGACCAGCAGTAGGAGGGACCCGAGGGTGGAAGCCTCGGCCTCTCGAATAGGTGCAGGGAGAGAGGGCGAGCCTCCTTGCACTCACCTCCCACCCTGATCTCCTGCAGACTTTCCTGCCTCTCAAGTGGATGGCGCCTGAGAGCATCTTCAACAGCCTCTACACCACCCTGAGCGACGTGTGGTCCTTCGGCATCCTTCTGTGGGAGATCTTCACCCTGGGTGCGCTGCCTTCCTCTCTGCAAGCATGACCACCTCTGGCTTCCTGTGCTGCTCAGACTGGGGCTGTGCAGTAGGGGTCCTGGGACTGAGGCGGGCCCTCTGGTTCAAGTCCCAACTCCGCTACTCCCTCACCACTCTGCCCTTACGGAGTCTCTTGCCCCATACGAGCATTAAGGACATCATACAGTGGTATCAGAATGCCAAGGAGCCCTGGTGGCGTGATGGTTAAGCATGTGACTGCTGATGGTGAGGTTGGTGGTTCAGACTCACCCAGTCGCTTCTAGGGAGAAAAGGACTACTGATTCGCTCCTGTAAAGATCCCAGCCTGGAAAGCCCCTCGGGCAGTTCGGTTCTATCACAGGGGTCACTCTGAGTTGCAATCTGTTCAAAGACACCTAGCAACGGCGATCAGAATACCCACCTAGCTCAGTTGTTCTCTTGTTTTCTGATTACAAGAACAGTTGCAATCTCTGTTCAGAATCCTCAGGAGAGTCCATTATATTCATTTCCATGTTGCTGTTGTTATACGCCGGGAACCCACTCACAGCTGAGCAGAGGCTGTATCTTCCTGCCTCAGAGCAGCTGGTGGGTTCCCGCTGCCTGCCGTTGGTTTGTGTGTGCAGCTCCTCACCACCAGAGCTCCAGAGCTCCGCTTGTTTCCATGGGCTGCCGTAAACCAGTACCATAAACTCTGTGGCTGAAAGCAGTAGCGTTTTCTTTTTCTCTCATAGTGCTGGAGGCTAGCCACTGTCATGCTCTCTCCAATGACTCAGGAGAATCCGTGCTTGCCACTCTCAGCTTCTGTTTGACTTGCAGTTGCATGACCACCATCTCTGCCTCTGAGCTCTTTTGGCTGTATTTTCTCTGTGTCTTTATGTCTAAATTTCCCTCTTTTTCATAAGGACACCAGGGCTCCTCTGGTAGCCTAGTGGTCAGAAGCTGCACTGCAATCCCAAAGGCATGTGGTTTGAATCCACCAGTTGGTCCTCAGGAGAGAAGGATGGGCATTCTCGTCCTGTGTTATTTACTGCCTCAGAAAACCCACTGGAAGGTCAGCTATGGGTCGGTTCTGACTCCTTGGCAAACAATCAATCACAAAGTATGACCTCATCTTCAATCAGTTATATGTGCAAATACCCTCTTTCCAAATAAAGTCACATTCACAGGTTCCAGGTGGATATGAAATTTGAGGGCACACTATTACACCCAGCACAGCAACATTGCCTTGTGTGCAGGCACGCTGCACCCTGACCCCACACCAGGGATGATATAGCTCTCTGTCCTGTGGGAGAAGGTCCCCTGACACTTTTCCACCCGCCCTGTCTCTGCTCCTTCACAGGTGGCACCCCTTACCCAGAGCTGCCCATGAACGAGCAGTTCTACAACGCCATCAAGCGAGGTTACCGCATGGCCCAGCCGGCCCACGCCTCGGACGAGATGTGAGTGGAGTCTCATGGAGGGATTTTTTGAGATGCAAGTAATAGATAAGCAGCTCTATCTGGCTTAAAGCAAGGGTAAATGTATTGACTAGAGATTTAGAAAAGACTAGTTATAACTGGATCTAGATGTCCGAGTGATGGCATCAGGAATCTCATTTTCTATCCTCCCCCCCCCTTCCCCCAGCTCTCTGCCTTTTTCTGCACTGGCTTAGTTCAGAATAGTTCTGCCCCAGTGACTGCACCAGCCGCAGCCAGACATCTGCCAAAGTCCCAGCATCATTTGCTGAGCTGAACTCGTATGCCCCGGGAAAGGCAATACACAATAAGGGGTTGATTGGTGTTGTTGTTGTTGTTGTTATGTGCCGTTGAGTTGCCTGCAACTCATAAAGACCCTATGTACAACAGCCCGAAACCCTGCTCTATCCTGTGCCAGTCTCACTGCCTCTGACACACCCATCCCGATTACCCCAGTCACTGAATCAATCCACCTCATAGAGGGTCTTCCCCTCCTGTGCTGTCCCTCCACCCTCCCAA